TGAAATGAGAAACATACCTTGTTTCTTGTTTCTGGTATGTTGTTTCATTTCATATCTTGCTGGACAATAGTCAGAATACAGGATTGATGTAACTAAAAACAAACATTTCAAAATTGACAAAGTAGAACGTTTATCATAGTTTTTAAATGTTCATGAAATCATGAAAATATTTTCAAACTATTAAACACTTCATGTTACGTTTGGTTAGTTATTATAGTTCACACTTGTCATCAGTATCTTTATGTTCTATGTAATTCCGACATACTCAGTTTGGTTATATCAATTGCACTATGCACTATCTTTGTCTGAATGTTTGAAACTTTGTCGACTCTGTTTGCTTTAACTTTAAAGCATTTTACTACACAGGTAGACACAAGAACAGGAAAATTTTTTCCAGTTCTAAAAATCATGAAAAAACCACTACTTCTTACAGTTTTCATCCAGTAGATCTAAATAAGAAGTTAAGATGAAAATATTAAAATTAAAATTATAGCGTGTTCATGAGATTTAAAAGTTTAGCTAAAATGTAAAGTTACTTAGGTTTTTGTTTTTACCGCGCGTTTAGTGCATCGCAAGTGGTCGAAGGTTATTTTAGAAATTGCGACATGTCATTCATATCCTCATGAATAGAGTATAAGAATTAAGTACTGGGTGATTCTGCCGTCGCTTGTGCGACATTTACACTGTGATTCAATAGTTATTACCTACTTAAAGCTTAGACAAAAATGAATGCATTACAAATTAATACATTGTGGTAAAATGTTTGGCTTTTAATATTCATGTACATTTTATATGTTGGTGATATTAGCCAAATCATATATGAATGTAAATTTAAGAACTTCAAAATAGAATTTTTTTTTGCACACAATTTTCAAGGAAAAAGCTTTAACATGGTGAACATGAATATCAAAAAACTGACATAGGAAATATCTCGGGTAGGATGTATTCGCTGTTAAATTCTGTGAAATTAAAGGTATTTTGATGAGCCTTGAGACAGACACTGATAATGAAGATATCAGTCACTATAGAAGATTTTATTTTTGTCCGTCAATGTAGCAATCTTTACTTGATAAAACCCCTGTTGGGAATTGTAAAGGTTGAAAAATTTCATTTTAGGCCATGTAGGGTGTTGAAACTTCGTTTTGTTTAAATAAAATTTGATGGATATTTGCGATTATGAAAGATCAAATCTGCAACACAAACTTAAAGATGCTCAAAGTTACTTTACAACTGTAGTACTTAACCTAAATGTTTTACATTATTTCTCAGCTTAAACTTTATCGTTTCGTGTAGGTGACGTAGCTAATTCTATTTTCCCGATGACGTGTATTTAACGAGGACCATGTTGTGAAATGTAAGTCTAACCTGGAGTTTCATGAAAACAAAAAAACAGGAAAGCAATGATGGCAACATTGATGATAATTATGTAGGATGTGTGAATTTAAAGACCAATGTTCCATGACTTAAAGAAAGAGTTTTGCCAATAAACACACTGGTGAGAAGGTGTACTATGTTGGTCAACATGGTTATGATGTGTTTAATGTTCAAAACCAACAACTGTTCTTACTGTGAAAACTTTTGATCTACTAAGAAAGTGAAACTATTACAGGTCAGTACTTGTACATCAAACTTTAAACATTAAACAAGACTTTGTTGAATGCTTGTTTTTATGTGAAAATCTTCCACCGTTCGGCGTACATGTTTTTTTCCTTAACGAATGAAATATGCAATGATTTCATCGTCTATTAACGATAACTATTATCGTAAATAATCTAGTTTCATAGTTTCGTACTGCGTATGTATGAAATGATTTTTCATTTTTCTTGCCGGTGTCCGAAGCCTAATCTGTGAGTCTGCTAATCTAAACCTTTAATTTAATTATCGAAAACTTTTACTAAAAATTTATCAAAAAATGCTTTGTTTTGAATCGGCAAATTTCGTGTTTCTATCCACTTTTCTAGAACATGGATGAATGTACAATATTGCAAACAATATGGATACTTTCACATTTTTATGACTGGGAAAAGGATATCTTTTCTAAGTCAATATTTACTTGTTGAACTGAGTCTCGAGAATGACTACACGGAATAATAAAAGGAGAATTTAAGATCTGTTTCCGCTTGCCATTGCTATTGGTTTATCTGTTTTTCAAACTTTAATGGTCGTTTATTACAGAGAATTATTTCAAGATATTTTTTCGAGAGGTAAGTTGTTAACACAGTTTTGTTTAAGATTCTGTAGAAAATAATGAAAACTGCAGTCTATATTACACCGGCTGAAAATGGTGGTCACAACCCAGATGTTTGGCAATTGCTACCAACTCTATAATCACCGTTATCGTAACTGCGTAAAAGTACTATTGATAAAGCGCATTTAATAAAAACGACAAGTTTTTTTTTTAAATAAACATGTTTTAACATCTCATGATGCCATCTTCAGTATATACTCTTTTAAAAAAACTTGTCGTATTAATTACCGTTATCACTTCGCTTGATTTCCTTTTTCTACAAACGTTTTCAATGTTTCAATTCAAGCTTCGTCTTCTTAAGCTCGATACTAAGGATGGAAAAGAGTCTGCTTAAGAAGGCATATACAGTAAAACTTTTACTAAAATTATGAGAGAAAACACTGTGGACGAAATTGGAAGTGGTACAAACAAGGGTGAAGTTGAATATAACGTAAAAACAGACAAAGTTCTTATTTTAGGCGTAGAAGATCATGGGTCTGTTGAAGAAAGTAATGTTGGCAATAGAAACAGGTTACAAATGTCTCGTGAAAACCTTCAAAATGCTAGTGTATCAGCGAATCAAACTCGTGATTCTAAATAGAGTCGTGTGGACGACGTGATTCGTGTTTCCCACGAGAATCGTGGATATAATGTGGGACGAGTTGTTAATGAGTATCGTGTTGTCGAAGAATGTAAGTTTTCTTCAGAGTTTCATGAAAACAGAAAAAAAGGAAAGTGGTAATTTCAATGTGGATGATAAATATGGAGAATATGTGAAGCTAAAGTCTATTGCTCCACTACGTACAGAGAGGTTACAGCCAATCAACTTCTCTTCCAAGGAGACAGCCGCAATGACGTCACGTAGTATGGCGTCACATGACAACCGTTCAAGAAACATGATGCCCAGTGATTCAGTGAGAAATTATACCAACATGGGCTACAGTTGATATGGCGATGATGTGTCTAGTGTTCATCATCAACAGCCTGTTGTTGTTGTGAGAACATTTGATCATCCAGGAAAGTCGTACTCTTACAGGCCAGTTGTACTACTGCAGGTCAGCAATACTATAACAGGTCAGTTGTACTACCACAGGTCACTTATACTATTACAGCTCGATTGCAGTACAAATCACTGACTTGAATTCAACTGCACACGTAATCCTACTCTGTTATTTATTCACCTCCAATGGCTTACTATGCTTAATTTTATCAAAGACACACGTTGTCTTTCAGGGATGTATTGCTATCGCTTATTGGGGGGGGGGGCTTTTGTTCATATATGCATGTTATAAATCCGTAGATAACAATACATTTCAAAACATATTAATTCAGCATATCATGAATATATGAGTAAGAGCCCCTCCAATTAGCGATAGCAATACATTGATGTTTTCTTTTCCTTTGATTTTTAAACTTTCTGAAAATACCATTGCTCTTTGTAGACAAAGGAGATCGTTGCCAAGAAACCACTCAAGACTCAACTACAAAAATTCTTTTAAATCTTCGAAGACTCGCAGACGAAAACCTTTACCATCTGCCTGGACAATAAACCTTCGAAATTCGCCGCCAAGACATGAAAATTCGCCGCCAAGACATGATTTCAGGTTTATCAGACAATTGCTTAAATTGTCCAGCAAAGTGCGAAGTTCATATCTTCATTTAATTTCAGACACCGCACTGCGTATAACATTCTTTCAAAAGATACATTGTTGAAAACAGTCCAAAACTATCCCATGCTAAAAATGCTAAAACCTCGACTTATTACAAAACTTCTGCTCGATCGCAACTCAGCTCACATTCAGATGCGTCAGAAGTAGATTATAAATCATCGCCTGTCCTTCACGACCAAATTAAGGATCAAAATTTTCAAGCAATTTATTCCGACAAAAAGTGGGAAGGGAAATCACATGAGCCAGAAATCATGTCCATTGTCAGTGGCAGTGAGTTTTCTGAATTCTTACCCACTCCTCCACGGCCAAGCGACAGCCAATCAGATATCTCTACGAATGGATATTCCCGTGGTAGTTATAAATCATTTAAAAACAAACTTGAAAGAAACGTTAAAGAAAACAGGGAGGTTGTTGTTGAAGACAGAAGTCAATCAGATCAAGAAAAACATAATGAATCATTTGAAGAAACTTTAGAGGTATTTATATGTAAAATAAAGTAAATGTATTTGATTTTTTTTTGCTTATCCTTGCACTGCTATGGGTCTACTCTATTTACTTAACTTAAGTTTCAAAAATCTTTCACATCATTGCTTTAGATTGTCTTCTTTCGTACAACATTTTCTATTTTCTATAAACAGCGTTTACGAAAGGGTGAGACGCGTGAGAGGAATGGAAACAAAAGTAGAAAAAACGTCGGTTCATTTAATAGAGATGAGCAGCTCATCGTGGACTCATAATGACAGCGGTTTTAGAAAGAAACATCATGTGCCAATAAATGGTGTTCAAGTCCTACCACCAGAACCAGTTTTTATTCAGTTTGAAAGTAGCGATGGGGAGAAAGAAAATTGAAGTTGAATGTTTTATTAACAAGCTTTTTTAGACTTATAAATGGTTCATTTTATATGGTGAATTTACTATCTATGTAATAACTTTCTATTTATTTTTCATACATTTGAAGGACATTTAAATCCACAAATTATTCATTCTCCCCCCTCCCCCCATGGAGAACATAAAGCATTTTTTCAAAAAAATGTACTTCCTACTGTTCTTTTGAAGTTTCTACATTGTTAAAATAATCTTTTTATGACGACATTACAAACAAGGCGTTATTATTGATGTTTCTAACCTGACGGAAACGTTATAGAAATACACTTGTTGAAATACCTATTGGAGACTGTGATCGGAGATCAGTTGTTTATCTGTAAGTTTACCAGACTTTGTTATATTGTATTCTTTACATGATTAAAGGCTGATATTCTTTAAAAATACTTGAGTTTATGATTTCTTTTGGGTGTAGGGTAACAACGTTAAGAAAATTATATTGCGTCAGACGTTAATTTTCATTGCCGAAAGTTTGTGTATGTAATTTATTTATATCTCCCTGTACAAATACTCCGATTTAGTATAGAAGTAAAGATATTCCACCCATCACGCAAAAAACATAAAGTTTGTAGGCAGTAACTATACGAACTAAAGCAATTTTATAGCATTACAGTGTTTTTTTCTGCTGCGTTTTTAATCACAATTAAACTTTCATACATACAGAATCTCGACAGTGTTATATACGATGCTTTAGCTTTGTTAGCGTGTATACTTTCTTTTCTTCATGACAATTTTATGAACTACGTTGGCGGAAGTGGACACGCAAGCAAATTGTATTATGAGAAATATAAGTCTTGAGAAAACTGCTCTTGGTGTTGTCTAAATTAATGTCTTCATTTATGATATGTATATAAACCATTTTGCACTGATACTTTAAATATTGTCATTCGTGAACATTTTCATAAAATGATTTAACAAGAAACGATTGCTTGTCTTCGATTAGCTCATCGTACAACTGAAAATGTCGGAATTGTCTTGTCCTATGTCAGATACTTGTGTATATCAAACATTATTCTGTATATCAAACATTATCTGGATTATGCAGCGTTTGAATCAAATTAGTCCCTTCAAGTTTGCATCCATTACCTATATGCGGGGGGTGGGTGCTGGTGGGAGCGCATAGTTTCAGTCTACTCTATGTTTTAAAGAGTAGCTATATTCCTATAGTCTTTGTGAACGTTAAGTAAATTACAACTATTGAAAATATTGAGGATTATCGATGATCATATATACGTTAATGTTTCAAAAACGAAAGAAATAAAAGTTACCGGTTCATTAAATGCACCATGCTAAGCAAAACAAGAATGATGTGAATTTTAAAATGCTTGCTCTCTCGCAGTCGGATATGAATGCAATATGAATACTATATGAATAATTTATGTTTTTCTTAATTATCTTTTCTTTTATAACAAAGAAATGTACTGCAACGCCGCTTTCAACAGATTTTACACTGTCTTAAAGCTTTTGTTTGAGCTAAATTGATTTAATCTTTATCTCTAACATCTGCATTCTTCAAAAATTATCATTTTCCTATCCAAGTAAAAACAAGTTTCTTTTACTGCTGGGATAATGACGATAATGAAAATCATATTTATCGTTCAAATGATCATGATGTTTTTAAATTGTCGTTAAGTTTCGATTGTTTTCATAAAGTTGGCAAGTCTTTGAACAAGCATGGTTTGTTGAAAATGTTGTTAAGTGTTTGTTGTTTTTATACACTTACAGGAAAATTTTTTTGTCTAAAGTTGGCAATTCACTAGCTGTGCTGTTGTGATTGTAAACATGAATTGCTAAAATGATTGGTGCTAACATAAGTTGGTGGTGCCATTATGGTTGATGTACTCCTAGATATTTTAAAATCGATAACATCTGAATTCTCAAAATCATTTTTTCATTTCAAATCAAATCAAATGAAATCATTAATTTATTTCAACTAAATAATTTTTTTGAAATAGCTGTTTCGCCCAATGTCAGGGCTCATCAGCATGCCCAGGAATTACAAATGCCATTTACATCATAGATCAGCATGGACAGCCTTGTAAAAAGCTAAATGAGCAAACTGGTTTTCAGGCGCCAGAAACTAGCCTTTCACACCTTTGCATGAAAACAGAGGAGTTCGGTTAGACAAGGGAGACTTTTTGAAACATTTCATGGGGATACAATTGCTCAATTTTGCATCTCATTCCAGTCGTTTCTAACCCTTTAGGAATATATAATTTGATCGAGCCGGCCTGAGTGAGCACGACTAAAAACTGGCGAAAGACGTTGCTTGTGCTTTTAAGGGCATTGATTAGGCAGGCATCGGGCTAAAACACAAGTATAATGTGTGCAAAATGACGTATGTGATGAATAACCGACTGTTTTTTGTGTTTCCTCTATTGTACTTGCTTATGTCGCACACCAAAGACATTTTCGAAAGCATTCGCGTTTAAAATTTAAACCACGCCCTTTCAAAACTCCTCCAATCTCCGCCATTAAGGATCGCCAGGTCACCATATCTTGCTGTGATCTTTTCAAATTGAGAAAATTTATGTAGGTATGAGAACTTGCAAAACAAGTCATTCTTGTTGTTTTGATGCTTGTAGTCAGACGGTAGTAAAAACGGTGAAGAAGTCGACAGTGTTGAATTACTTGAAGACCGGAGAATTTTTTGTAAGTTTTGCAGACTTAGTTGTATTGTACTCTCATCGATAGTCAATATTAAAAACCGGAACGACTTAAAACATAAAGTTGAATTTAGCGGATTTTTTTATTCATTAGAAAATTCATTGTGTCAGAAGTTAAATTTGATCACATAAAGCCTGTCTTTCTTCCTTATTTATATGTTTATTTTTCGAGTACAAATCTTCAGATTATATTTTTAACAGGATAATTCTTTGCAACTCATCGGAATGAAAGTAAAAATTATTTAGGCAATAACAATTCAAATTAAAACCATTTCATAATGATTGGTGTATTTTTGTACAGTTTTTATTCTCTAGTCAAGATTCCGATTTTCAATTTCCAAAAAACAAGGCAATAACATAGGTTTTTACTTTGTTAACGTGTATTCATGACAAAAGTGGTATGATATACGTGGCAGGAAGAGCACACGCATGCAAATTTTCTTATGAAAAAGAATATGCTTGGGAATTATTTCAATACTTAGAGTTATAGGCTGATAAGTTTATTTCATAAAGGTGAAGCACCTTATTGATGAGAATTAGAAGAATCAAACTTTTGAGATAGTTTATCATTAACCAATTATCTGTGCTGCATTACTGCAATCTCGAATAGATTAAATGCAAGTTTTATCAAATGTATATCTTTTGAAGCTTCGAAAGATTCAATCTTGCGCATTTTCCGTATACTATTTAACTAAGGCCAACGGATTGTAAAAATTTGATCCTTGGTGCGTCTTGTGATTTTCTCTTGACACAGATTCATTGCGCTGTAGACCTGAACTTTGTGGTTTATAATAAGTTTGTCATGTAAGTTGCAATTTACAATGCATTGTGACGTGTGGGTACCTCCCTATTCGTAAACTACATACGAATTAAGATTGGACTGCACCGAGGGCTTTGTACTAGGAGTCATTTTAAAATGTTTTGATCCTGGTCAACCTCATATACTTCTATATTAAAAAAATTGGCGCCTTTATTTTGTTGTTTGATTTTCTTTCCTAGAAAAATCATTATTTACTACAACTTCATCAATAAATCGCTGAGGATTTTTTCAAAGCACGTTTCGGTATTGACGCATCTTTGTTTATGCATGCGCAATTTTGCTCAAATATGTATTAGACACGAGTTGGAGCAAATTTCCCAATTTATATATATTAATCTACGACTATGTGCAACTATATGCAAGACAGGTATTCGACATAGTTTAATGGTTCTGATCTGACGAGAACAAAAATGGTAAAGAAATCAAATTTGTGATACCGTTAACTCAAAGATCGTCACATTGATTGTAAATTTTCCAGACTTTGTTGTATTGTTTTCTTCTTTGCGTGTTTCAACACCTGTGTATAAAAATATTAGGAAAAAAGATGCTCAAAAGAAATCAGACGAAAGTTTTTAATGCAAAATACTATATTCAATTTCAAGTTGTCGCATTTTGCGTTGTCTTCATATGCTAAATATGTATTGTCTTGATGCGTGACTTTCGTGACTGTGGGAGTGGGGGTTTGCAACGTGCAATTACCGACAAACACGTGGTTAGTATATATATATCTTAATGAATACTTTGCATGACGCTACAAAAGTAAGTCGCTCCAGGCTTTTCCTGCGACTGACAAGCTCCATAAAAAGGAGTATTTTGCCTATATTAAACAGCCTTAAAATTGAGGCGATTTGAGAAAATTAAAAACTTTTTTTGCAAATACAGTGGAAATCACTCCTAACTTCAATGTTGCTGAAGTGGGCACTTTAATGAATTAATTAACTTACGAAACTTATCGGGAGGGGGGAATGTTAAAACATTCATTATCGAGAATTGATTTGCCTTCAATTTGCAAAATTGCCCTATCTTTAACCTATTGGTATATAACACCCTACACACACTCTTCATACATGTTAGTCAGATCTCTCATTTGCTTGCTCTAAACTTCCATAAATGAATTTCTTCTATTGTAATTTTGAAACTAAAGAGTGAACTAAATAAAGCTCATAATTTTGCTTTATATAGTTAAACAGTTAACTTTGATGTTTGGCGCAAAAAAATAAGTACAATAAAGAAAAGTTTGCTGTTCACATAAAGAACATTGGAGAACTTAGATAAATTTTTGCGTGACTACTAGAAGAGATCTAGCTTTCACGGTTCCAGCAGTTATGGGGATCTTGGAAGAAGGGAATTGTTCTATGAATAATGGCGATTATAAAACGGCTATTGAACATTACAATAATTGTGTAGAAGTTGCAGACGAAAATAGCCTGAAAACGATAGCATATTTTGGTCTTGGTAATGCTTACACACTCTCTGATAATTGGGAGGAAGGATTGAACAGTTTTAATCATTGCTTAAAGTTTTCGTCTAAAGTTGAAAGTGAATATTTTGAACATCAAGTATACCTTGGCCTGGGGAGTGTTCATTCTACCATTAAAAGATTGGAGGACGCAATGAAGAAAGATGAAATGGAATGTCTCTGCCATATTGCACTGGGAGGATTGAACAAGTCGCTTGGAAATTATGAGCAATCTTTGGAGCATTATAGAAAAGGATTCTCTTTTATTGATTGTGAACACCAAGAAGAAGAAATGCAACCTCGACAACGGAAAGAAAATCAACAAGAACAAAGTAAACGGCGTGAACGACCGCGACGACCAAGAAAAGTTGGTGGTATTAACGTTGGTAAAGATTTCGTCAACCTTAACATGAAGAACTTGTCAATTGTTACTTCAGCTGGAATTGTCAGTGGATTGTTGGCTGTTCTATGGGAATTAGCAGAATTGTTTGATAAACTTGAGCAATATAGGGAAGCAGTAGAAATTTATGAAACATATCTGGAGATGGTCACAAAAGATGAAGATATAGAAAAACAAACGAACGTCATGGAGCGTCTGGTGCAAATATACGATGAAGAAGAGCGTTATTACTTAAGGAATTCAATGACAACAAGATTACAAGAATTTCATGAAAGAAAAAGAACCAAGGTACAAAATGCACATGACTTCAGCAATTAAGAGACAAATTTGCTAATTAACAAATACTATAAATTTAAGGATAAAATTGAAAATATCTACTTTGAAATTCACGTAAAACTTGTTTGCCGTGTTCAATGTTTAGCATGAATTCAATGTGGAATACACACTCTTTTTATACGTTTATGCAAAATAGCTAATAACTTTTCGTTTAGTTACAAAAACTAGTCTTAGTTTTTGTTTTTCCATTTTGCAAAACAATACCCTCATGATATGAGTAAAAGACCTGGGTGAAATTTTCCGTGTAAGAGCTTTTTAGAGCCATTCTTATCAGACCTCATTGCTTAAATAAATGGTCGTAATATGTTTATTTGTGGTTTTGTAAGTTTTTTTTACAAATTGCATATGCTATCTGAATCGTTGGTGCAGTAGGGAAACTCGAGCACTGCTATTTATTTATTATTTGTCTATTTAGCTACAACTTATTACTCTCTCTATAAATGAAATACTTTTACTTCTATTTCAGAATTGCAGCTGCATGAATGGAAATACAATGATAAATCGACAAAACATAAAGAATTGCTCTTAAAATTAATTGAGTATGGGAAAGACCCTAATGTTGAGGTTAAACATGTGGACGATGTACGTGTAATTTTCAAAGAAGAGTTTTGCATCGGTAGAGGAAGTGATGGAACCCGTGTTTATCTTGGACTGGGAAAGGATGGTTACGGTAAAGCAGTGAAACGAATTCTTCGTGATAATACTTATTTGGCACAGCACGAAGAAAAAATTTTTAATGAAATCAATGCTAAGAAGTCGGATTATGTGCTAAATTATTATTGCTTGAGACAACATAGAGGAACAGACTATGTTTATTTGATTCTCGATCTATGTGAAGAATCGTTGAAGGAATATGTGGAATCAAATTCAAACAGTTTGGATTACCTTCAAAACATACTTCCCGACATTCTTAAACAAATTTTAAAAGGATTAGCTGATCTTCATAGCGGTCCACGTCCCATTCTTCATCGAGATTTGAAACCTTCCAATGTTCTCCGAGACACACAAGGCAAATTTTTGATAGCCGATTTTGGTATTAGTCGAATTATGAAGAATGACTCTCAGACACATGTAAGCGCTGCTAATAGGGGAACTCAGCATTGGATTGCCCCTGAATCTTATATTGTTGATGAAAAATTATTTGATAAAGCACGTTACAAACCAGAGTCTGATGTAATGGTAGGTATTGGGTTGTTACTATTTGCAAATTGTACGTAAATTTAGTTTTTACATTTTACGTACTCTGTTATGTTTAATTTATTTTAGAATGCAGGAATGGTGGCTTACTTTGTTGCAACAAAAGGAAAACATCCTTTTGGTACTAAAGTGTGCATACTTCAAAATTTGTTGGATGGAAAACCTGTTGGCTTGAAGGAAATCAGTAATGTCGAACTAAATGATCTTCTATCATGGATGCTACAACATAAACCCGAACTCAGGCCATCTGCAAAGGAGGCGTTAAAACACCCTTATCTACTATCTGATGAAGAAAAGTTTGACTTGCTGTGTGAAGTTGGGAATCAACCGGAGATAAAGATACAGCAATTAAATCATCTTCTCAGCTTAGATGTCCATGAGCAGTTAAATGATTTAAAAAATTGGAAGGGTCGTATTGATCCTGAAGTCTTCAGTGATTTCAACATGGGACACTACGATGCTACATGGTTAGGTTGCTTGAAATTTATACAAAACGTTGATCAGCATTGGCTTGATGAGCATCGTACAAAACTGTTACCATATATCAAGGAAGGCAATTATAAAGAGTATTTTGTACGGGTTTTACCAGAGCTTCCTCTTCTGGTGCACAGAATCATGAGGTTAAACGAATGGATCTTAAGACCTGATATGGAAAAACGTGTTCCTAGTAAGTTACAGCCATAGAAATAATTCTTCAGTTTTAACGATATTGCTAAATTATATGAATTTTCCCACTGTAACGTCGGAACATAATAGGGTTTTCTACTTGTTTGCAAAAGCAATTTTTTCTCGTGAATCGTAAAAAGTCTCTCTTTCCTTATAAATTCTTTGCATTGTTTGTCCGGAGCACTTGTGGCGCTTCTGTTTCTCCGGTTCAAAAAATGCAATTTATTTTAAGAGTATTTTTAGTCATATAACTTTTTAACATTCAGATACTAAATTTCATATTTTATGTTAATGTGAAAACAATGTGTGTTTTATCTATTGCAGAATTGCTCAATCTAGTATAGCAGATCTAGCGTCTGTCAAAATGAATTATAGATGCCCAATTTTAAATTCAAAATATGTTCAAACCAAAACTATTTGATTTGAATTTCAAAATATTAAACTTTATCAATGGACTTGCCTCTATGTATTTGGAAATGGAAATATATCCAAGCATGAGCTGCAGCAATTTATTTTGACGTACTCTAGATCCGCCACTGGCTTTATTGAGTTAAAGGTTGGTATGGTCATGCAATGAACTAATCGTGGAACGTCGATTTTTGCGCGTGAATTGTATGATGACCAACTCATTTTTACCGGAGTAAATGTTATTTCCATATCAAAGTAAAAACATCCGTTTTAACTTGATATGGAACAACAATGTTATATGTTATGTGATATTGACAAAACAAGTAAAACTGTGAATTGCAGAATTTATTACTTCTCCTTTAAGTTCAAGAATTGTTGCGTCAACCATGGAAATGTTTTGATAAATCAATAATACATCAGGAATTGTTTAAAAAGATGGAGGAATATGGACGCAAGCATCCAGAAAAAGTTACACTGCTCAGTGAATTGCGTGTAATTTTCATGAAGGAGTTTTTGCTTGGCAAGGGAAGTGATGGAACCCGTGTTTACCTTGCCCTGGGAAATGATGGTTATGGAAAAGCAGTAAAGCGAATACGCAAAGATTGCGGCTTAGACTATACAAATCGAGAAAAAGAAATTTTTAATGAGTTGAATGCAAAGCGTTCAAATTATGTTGTGAATTTTTGGGATTTAAAAGATAACCTTGACGAAGAGTATTTGTACATGATATTAGATTTGTGTGAAGAATCGTTAGAGAGTTATGTGAAATCTTCTTCTTTGCAAAATCTACAAAAAGTCGTTCCTACAATTCTTATGCAGATTTTAAAAGGTTTAGCTGATCTTCACAGTGGTCTATGTCCTATTCTTCATCGGGATTTAAGACCATCGAACGTTCTTCGAGATGTGGATGGAAATTTTTTAATCGCTGACTTTGGTATAAGTCATATGTTTTCTGATGAAACTTCGACACATCTGAGCATACAGAGAGGAGCTAAAAATTGGATAGCTCCAGAGTCATATGACAAAACAGATGGATCAATTAATAAAGTTCGTTACAAAAAAGAGTCTGACATTATGGTAAGTTCTTGAAGTAGAACTAGAGGTCCAACTACAGCTCAATGTTTTATTTGCATTTATTTAAATAATGGTATTTGGTAGTGATAATGATTTTACCTCAATTTTTTTCTTTACATCGATTGTATCGTCATATTGTGTAAACCTATAAATTTAAATAGAAATAAATTAATTTTTGATAAACGTGTTACAGTTACAATTGTATGTTCCTTATTTAGATTGCTTTTAATACATATATATGGCTACAATTCTACTTGGAGAACATCTTTTAGATTTTTTAAGCTGCACATTTATTGCTGAGTTCTGCAAATCGCAAATAATTTTAGTCTTTAAGGTTTTAGTATCCACCACTGACAGCTTATGACAATTTTTATTGAAAATAGAATGCAGGAATGGTGGCTTATTATGTTGCAACAAAGGGAAAACATCCTTTTGGACATGAACGGCATATACTGGACAACATTTTGATTGGAAACCCAGTTGGATTGGACGAAATCAAGGATGCCATGCTCAAAGACCTTTTATCGTGGATGCTACAACTAAAACCTGAAGACAGACCATCTGCCAATGAGGCGTTAAAACATCCTTATCTACAATCAGACGAAGAGAAATTTAACATGCTGTGTGATATGGGGAACCAACTGGAGTTGAAACATTTACAAGGTCAAAATTCTCCCATTTCGGATGTTCATACGCAGTTGTATGGTTCCACAGAATGGATGAAGCGTATTGATGATGAAGTCGTCAAAGATTTGATCAACTTTGAAGTAAACGACAGTATAAGAACTCTAAAGTACGAGTCTACATGGGCAGGATGCCTAAGATTTATACGAAACGTTGACCAACATTGGCAAAATAAGCCTCGTCCGCATCTATCACAATATGTGAAGCAAGGCAATTATAAAGAGCATTTCCTGCAAGTTTTCCCGGAGCTTCCTCTTCTGGTGCACAAAGTCATATGGTCGACTCACTGGAAATCCACTCCAGATCTGGAAGAACACTTTGCTAGTAAGTTAACCATTAAAATATTTCTTTTTCGTCAATGATGTAGCTAATGAATCTCTAAAATCTCTAAGTGTAAAAAATGCAACCTAGTCAGTCAGTTATTCCGGTTATACAGTCGAAGTGTAAATTTTTTGCGTTTGATTTGTCACGATATGTTTGTTCATTAGTGCATCAAAGATTGTCATGAACAAGCTAACCATTTTAAAAATTTTATCTCCAACATTCCCTTTGACGTTATGAAATGGTTAAAACGCAAATATATTTTTAACATATACTAATATTGATATAGATATAAACAAGGAGTGAGTCTTTGCAGGGACGGCGAAGCAACATTATGAAGTGCGAGGCTAAGTCTTCACTTCTACTACGGCGTCTTAAAAAACACCTCTAAAAAATGACTGCAGCTCAGTCTAAATATATTTTTTGCAAAAAGTGAGGGGGGAGGGCTTCAGCTCTCCCAATCCCCCAGGCTGTTAACGTTAGTGCAAAGCTTATGATTAACTGTAAGGATTTTTACAGTTAGACAAAGTATGACCCTCACACTCCAAAAAGTGTTTATCTTTGTGATAAAGTTTTGACTGTTCCAATATCAGCAATGTACATGGCATTGAATAATGAACATTTTCTAAGAAATTTGTCCCCACAGGGGCAATACTTTCTAGTAAATATGGCCCCCCTTACAAACTTTAAAATTTTTTTAGAACCAAGATCACTGGCGATCCAACATAATACAAGTTATGTAGATCTATACATTTAGTCACATAATATCAAACTAATCAGAATAACTAACGCACTTTAGTGATGACGTCATGTGAATATTCACGCGTCCAATAAAGTGCGAGTAAAAAGCAAATATCAAAAACTTGAATGACTTACACATTTCATACACACATTCTGCAAACGCATCCCCGCTGTGTAAATCCCTGTCCTCACTTATGCGTTTTCTGTTAAAAACTCAAACTTTTTGATGCTTTTTGGCCATCCGTCTACACTGAAACGCTCAAAAACGGACACACTGCGAAATGAAAACGTATGGATTTGAAAGCGCTCTCAAAAATGGAGTGATTTGAAAATGCGTGCGTTTTGTTTTAATGTGGACACTCAAAAAACGAAGCCTTTGGACGATGACGTCAATGACTACTTTTTCTGGCATTTTTAAAATTCAATACAAATTTGGCGAGCCTGAGTGACGTGTTTTTAAGGTTGTATATTTGTTTAATCCCTATTTTGGAAGTTGATATTTTGATTTCACAGCTTTTATCGATAATTTATAAAAGGAGAATTTTGACTCTTCGAACATTGGTTTTTTCCAGTGGCTCACACAACCACTATCGAATAAATAAGCCATATGAAAGAAAGCCAGGAAGATTTTGGGTTTGTCCAGGAAAACAAGCGCGTGGTAGGATAACTTTGTATCTGAAATTATGAATTACTTGCCTTGGAAGATATCTTTATTGGCGCAAGATGTCACGAAAACTGTGGGCGCTTTATGTATAAGCATGCGCAGTTAATTATTTAACACACTTTTAATTCGGTATTAACTTTTAATTTCGAAAACGCATTAGTGTGGACAGATGCAGATAACACAAAAAATCTGTCAATATTGCAAAAAGTTTCATAAAATAACTTTTAAACTCGTAGAAATTCGATTTTAGTAAACACTTAACTATTTCCAGCTTTAAATAACGTAAATAACTACTTTTTGTTCGTTTGCAGATTGTGTTAAGAAGTGATTGAGTCATTTAAGCCTTTATGCTTTTTAGTTAGTGGAATGATTTTCATGAGTCATTACTTTAGTTATACCCACTCTTTACTCGACTCACTTATACTCACTCTTTAGTTTTTGCTCTTCTGGACTAACTAAATGTGCAAAATTTAGACTATTTATGATGTTGAAAACCGTACAAGCGTAAGAAATATTATATATCATGTTGTACACCATTGAAAATAATGAATTTTGGCAATTCAGACAAAAGACATCAAACGGGTTATTTTAGTGAAAAATAGTCAAATAGTCATATAATTAGTGAAAAATGATCAAAGAGGAAGATATGCTCAATGAGATGAAGTATGGTACAGTGAAAGAAGTCCGAAAGCCAAATAAAGTGAAAGGGTCTGTCATCACGAAAATTGCGCAAAGCAAGTTTTTAAAGAGCAAAAAGTAGTTTTTGGTATTGTATTATAAGTAAACATACGCTTTCAGGGATGTAAGAAATTAAATGTTCTGCTGACCAAAGCAAGGTTTAATAACGTCAAAGAATATTGAGGATGGACGTTTATGACTAAATATCCTCATCCTATATTTGCGGTAACACGTTAGTAAATATTTCTGTTGTAACAAAAGAAATCGAGGTGACCATATCTGTTGACCGATGCAGACTTGTATCTTCGATTATCGACTGTTGGTATGAATGATTCTACTTTAACTGCTATCTCCAAATACACCTTGGCATCAATTGACCAAGTTTAATGAATTCGTGTGCTTTACTTTAAGTCAAACAGAACATCATAAAATTAATGCTTTAAGAAGTGATATTTGTGGTGAATATTGGGTAGAGGCGTTTCTTTAGTTTTGTGCTGCAAAGGTTTTGTGCAATAACCTACGAGCTCTTATTCTCCAGAGCATAATGGTATCGCAGAGCGTTTGACTAGGACAATCACAGCATTGAATCGATCCGATCAGTGATAAAGCTGTCTTGTTGGCTATATAAACAGACAGAAAAGCAATAAATTTCACTTAAAGTTCACATTCTGGTGTTATATATATAGTTCAAAAAGATCGACGATGGCAATGTTCATATTCTATTGGAAATGTTGATCTGCGATTACATTAAGAAGATTTTCATCCAATTTGGGATGGAGAAATGCAAACGCATGTACACCTGTCGAACCGTCGAAAAAAATTTTAGATTTCTCAGACGATGAAAAGATTTAGTAAAAGTCTCTTTTGCTAAATCTCCCTCGGTTTACAGGACTTTTAATCACAAATATCCCTGCGTTTACTTACAATAAAGCTGCTTCTTATTTTCATCTCAAATAATTTACCAATGTACTATATAATATCACAGGGATTGGCATTATGATTGATGTGGACAACACCATTAAATGAAAGTAATATCCGATTTTACTGCCCGAAATTAAGATTAGCCTTTTTGAAAAAAATGAATATATTACCATTTAATGTTTTAAATAATATACCACAAAGCCGAGCTTATACTATTATGTTATTCGCACGTATTCGAATCTTGTGTGCGATGAATTACTTTCAGCTCACTTCCACATGTTTGATTATTTTCATCCTTTATCCCTAAATGTAATACTTTTACATAATTTTTAGAATTGCAGTTGAAAGAATGGAAGTATTTTGATCAATCAATAAAGCACAAAGAGATGTTCTTGAAATTAATTAAGTATGGACGCGACCCAGAGAGCAAGGTTAAATGTGTGAACGACGTACGTGTAATTTTCTCGGACGAGTTTTGCATTGGCATAGGAAATAATGGAAACCGTGTTTATCTTGGACTGAAAAAGGATGGTTATGGAAAAGCAGTGAAACGAATACGTCGAGATATCTGTACCAATGAAGCAGAGAACGAAGTGAAAATTTTCAATGAAATCAAAGCTAAGAAGTCGAGCTATGTTGTGAATTATTACCACTTAGAAGAAAATACCGAAACTGAATATGTCTATTTGATACTTGACCTATGTGAAGAATCGCTGGAGAGTTTTGTAAAATCTTATACTTTGGAGGATCTTCAAAAATCTCTTCCCGAAATTCTCAAGCAAATTTTAAAAGGATTAGCTGATCTTCATAGCGAACCAAATCCTATTCTTCATCGTGATTTAAAACCATCTAATGTTCTTCGAGATGCACAAGGACAATATCTGATAGCTGACTTTGGTAGTAGTCGAATATTGAAAAACGGCCTTAAGACACATGTAAGCGATGCTACTAAGGGAACTCAGTAGTGGATTGCTCCTGAATCATACGTTTTTGGTGAAGAGTCATTTGATAAAGCGCGATACAAACCAGCGTCTGATGTAATGGTGAGTGTAAAAATATAACCATATGCAAATTACTTCCAAATTTTTTAGAAATCCTTTGTTGACACTGTTATGTTTTTATATATTTTAGAATGCAGGAATGGTGGCTTATTATGTTGCAACAAAAGGGAAACATCCTTTTGGACCTCTAGAGCTTAGACTGAAAAACTTGCTAGATGGAAATCCTGTTGGTTTGGAAGAAATCAAGGATTATCAACTTAGAGATCTTCTTTCATGGATGCTACAACATTCACCAGAAGAGAGGCCATCTGCCAAAAAGGCGTTAAAACACCCTTATCTACTATCCGATGAAGAGAAGTTTAGTATGCTGTGTGATGTGGGGAACCAACCGGAAATAATACAATCACAAGGTCAAATATCTCCAAGTTCAGATGTTGTTGCGCAATTGTATGCTCCCATGGAATGGATGACGCGTATCGATGATGAAGTCTTGAAAGATTTCAAAATCTTTGAAAAGAATGGCAAAAAGAAAACTCTGACTTACGAGCCTACATGGGCAAGGTGTTTAAGATTCATAAGAAGAGTGAATGAGCATTGGAACGATAAACCTCGTTCACATTTGTTGCGTTATGTTAAGGAAGGCAACTATGTAGACTATTTCTTGCAACGTTTTCCTGAACTGCCTCTTCTGGTGCACAAAATCATAAGGTCGACTGACTGGAACAAAAGACCCGATCTTCAGAAACATTTTACAGCTTAGTCATACCAACAATTTTTTATGTTAAACGATGTAACCAAATTAGGATTCTATGACACTATACAATGTCCCAATTTAGTTGTTATTTTCACTAAAAAGTTTTTTTCGTTTGATAATATTCAATATGCATGTTTTAAATACTCTATAAATGCTTTCCAAGATGAGAGCATTTTTGATGTGATTTTTAATTGAATGTATTGCCAGAGGCTCCGGAAAGGGGGACGACTGCCAATATTATATTTCACATACTGAGGTTTCTGTAAATGTAACTTGAAAGTTTCAGTTGAATAAAACATTGCGTTATACATTGTATGTGACACTTTAAAGGTATTACACACCCCCTCCCCACCCAAAAAAAAATCCTGCTAGCACCACTGTATGTTGCGTCTAATGGAGAGCTAAAAAGTTGAAACGTTATTGCCTAAATTAATATCTTTTTATACAAGTGTTGTCGTTTCTATATCACTTCATCGCGCTTCTCTAACACTGCTAACACTTCATTCACTTTCAAACTGAAACAAACCTTACACATACGTCAATACAACGCATACCTGTACAGGTACGCACATCCTGTATCTTGTCCCTAATCACTAATAATTTATAAATTATTTTATCTATTTAGTGTAAGTATAAGCAGGGGCCGCGGAGAAGGGGAAATTACCCCCCCCCTACTTTTTTCAATATCTCTTGCTTTGTCAAGTATAAAAGCATAAAATTCAGCCCCAGGAAAATACTTACATTTTATAAGTATGGATGTTTAACAGTATTTCATGTCTCACTTATGTTCCACCTTCATTTTTTAGTGACGTTAGATTGATCAATTATAGCTCGTTCAGATTAATTGCCGGAGTACGATATTCTAGTTCTGGCAAAAATCTGCAGGCCCTTTACACTACGTAGTAACCACTAGCTTCGTTTATTTATAATTTCATGTTTTTCATTGTAAAGAAGTTTTTAAACCATGTGAAAATGCATAAATTTCTATACACGTTACTCAGGTGTCGTCGCTCACATTGGTGCCCGTGCCCGAGCACCGTACTTGGGTAATACCTCTTTTGTGGTGCCCAGACCCGGGCATTTATACACAGGCACCATCAAAATTTTGTGTTCACATTGGTGCCCGTGCCTGAGCACCGTAATTGGGTAATACCTCTTTTGTGGGGCCCAGACCTGGGCACTTATACACAGGCACCATCAAAATTTTGTGTTCACATTGGTGCCTGTGCATGAACACCCTGCCATTGCACTCAGTCTGAACACACGAAATCAAACAAATTTTGTATATTTAATGATTACTGATAAAACTGTTAAAAACAGCTTTACTATAATGGCAACAACAATCCCATTGTATGATATAAATATAGTATTCAATCACACTGAAGGTATCTTATAGCTAAGTTGAAAATTATCTATCATTAGAAATAAAAAATTGAAAAATATTATCGTGTATTTAAAATGTTTATAAAGCATACTACCCATTAGACCATATAGTACTCTTGGAGATACAGTGTCGCCTAGTCCCAACAAGAGCGAACTCTTCAAAAAAGATTTTCTAACCAAGGCAAAATTCGGTGTTTTTCACTATAAAAGGGCTCGTTCTGTTGTTTACAACCAGAGAGCAGAGGCATAAGTTACATGTGCGTATGACGTTTGAAATAATACTTAAAATTCCTTATCCATTCTTTCAGTAAATATATTTGTTTCCCTCTGCGATCTATAGAAATGCTTTGCATTTATTATCAAACGATATTAATCTACGACACATTTAACATACTTTGATGTTTATAATCTGTTTATAACAAAAATGGCAATGAAATCAAAGTTTTTCAAATTTTTTAAACACTTAAAGATCACCGAATTGATTGTAAGTTTTCCAGACTTAGTTGACTCAAAACTAAAGAATGGTACGCGTCAAATGTTAGGTTGAATATATGTGAAATATTTCATGATGTATAATCTATTCATTTGCAAGGGTTAGTTCTGTTTATCTTATTTATCCCTCTGTATTTAACTCTATGTCTTTAACCTTATATTTTTTGTATACTTTTCGCCACAGCGTTAAAAAAGAAAGAACTTTGTTGAGCCGATGAAATGATCTAAAACATTTAATATTTTCTCTTGTCGGATGACGATGTAAATCGTTGCCGGAAATGACACGCAGGCAATTTAAAAAAACTCTTAGGAAAGTTGGTCTTGGCATTATTTAAATCGATTGCATAATTTATCATTTGTATCTGAACTTCTTTTACATTATTTCTTCAAAATTTTGTTATTTGTGAATATTTATAAGAATTAGTTGGTTAACAGACAGTTTTTGAGCCACTGGCCATTAGGGCATTAACCGTGTTTTAAAACTCAGCTAAAATTGCTCGAAAATAAGGACAAAAGGAAGTATTAAAGATTGTTGATAAATAGTATGGAAGTATAAGAAAATACATATAATAAATGTATGAATAGTGAAATAAAAACATAAATAAATTATTGTTACTATCAAGTCGTCATACAACTTGGGAATAAACAATTTAATGAAACAAACCAAATTACAATTTACTACTTTCAAATTACTATCTTCAAATTACTGTCTTTAATTTACTGTCTTCAAGTTACGTTAAGGACCGTTTGGTCCCACGTACAAGATTCAACTACAACAATTTGTTTTTTACTCTTATTAAGCAACAAGACCCTTTCAAACGTCCCTTCCTGCTCCCCATTCCGTCCAAAGCGGCAATTCATACGGTAGCCACACCGGCCCCTAAATAGAAATTGCCAACTTTAAATTCCGATTCCAAATGAGGACCAGAAATAACTTCCCTTTTTCTCGCCTCTCGGTCTTTATCCTTTAGCTCAGGAATTGTTATCCCCTTCTGCCAATGGCTTTCATCCTCCCAAAGGAATGCAGGACCTTTTAACCATTGGCCTTTATTTCTCAACACGTCCAATTTAACGCCCTCGGAGCCTTCATCGGCAGGATTGTCGTCCCGGTTCACGTAATTCCACTCGGATGGGTGCGATCCACTACGAATCACTGACAAACGGTTGGACTCGAATGTGTGAAATCTTTTGCTTTCGTTGTTAATACAATTGAGGACTGACATTGAATCTGTCCAGTAACAAACTCTTTGCGCTACCATATCAAATTCTTCTCGAAAAATCTTCGAAAGTCTTACGGAAATGACGGCAGCCGTTAATTCCAGTCTTGGAATAGAAATCTCCCTTAATGGAGCGAGTCTATCCTTCCCAATCACAAATGAGCAGTGTATTTCGTTGTTTCCATTCTTTTGACGCAAATATGCCACCGCCGAATAGCCAAGTCGAGAGGCGTCGGAGAAAATATGTAGACTCACATCTTTAACTTGTTTGAATCCTTCAGGTTTAAAACAGCGGCAAAACCAAATTTCTTGTAGCTTTGGGAGATCAGCTACCCAACGTTTCCATTGCGAAAGTTCGTTCGCAATGGAAACGCGAACGAACTTTCGCAATGTGGTTGTTAGCTTTCCGCAACAACCCACACAAACATATCCTCTTCTGTGTTCCACTTTATTCCAAGAGTACTTTCTGTGGGAAGCTTATCCAATTTCAAATTCTTTACGGATTTTGCTCTCTCGGTTTCGGGAATCGTTGCTATCAAGCTCCTACTGTTGCTGTACCATTTTGTAAGACGGAATCCTCCTCTTTTCAATAGTTGACGCAATTGACTCGCTAAACTTATTGCTTTCTCTGGTTCGCTTATTGATTTCATCAAGTCATCAAAATACATGTTACGTTTCACCGTCTTTACTGCTAGTGAGTCGTATTCTTGTTGATACAACTCGGCTGTCTTCAGCAAACAGAAATTGGCGATACTTGGAGAAGATGTTGCTCCGAACAAATGTCTCGTCATTCGGTATTCTTCCATGTCTCCAGAAAGGTATTTATTTGGCCACCATAAGAATCGCAATGCGTCTCGATCCTTTGGTTCCACTAGAACTTGATGGAACATTGCTTCTACATCAGCAAGTACTGCAACCAATTCCTCTCTGAAGCGAATTAACACGCCTGTTAGTAGAGTTGTCTGATCCGGACCCTGTAGAAGTTGCTGATTCAACGACGTTTGCTCATATCTGGCTGCACAATCATAGACGACTCTTACCATTTCGGGCTGAAGAGGATGAGTAACCGGGTGATGTGGTAGGTACCACGTTGGTCTGTCATTTACCTCTAGTTGATCCTGAGGAATTCTTTCTGCGTAGCCTTTATCAATGTAATCGTTTATTGTGGCTTGATACTTTTCCGACAGGTTTTCATCCTTGAGGAGCCGTTTTTTCAAAAGCAAGCCTCTGCGTTCTGCGATTATTCTATTATTGGGTAAGGAGGGCGGTTTCTTTCGCCATGGCAGAGCAACTTGAAAATGATTATCCACTACTGTCAGCGTCTCTTCCATTATTTGAAGCGCTCTCTTGTCTTCAAGTGACGGACACACTTTAGTTTCAACTAGAGAGCCCTCAAAGTCGGTCTTCCACAGTCTTTCCAATTGATACTTGAGGCATTCATTTTCCGCTTCATCAACTTCATTGTTAGTGGCAGAGTCAGGGGTATCGAATTCCAATCGGTCAAGATTAGCCGATGCACACCGTTCATTTTGGTTGGCGACAGGAGCAATCACTGTCCATCCTAAACTGTATTTAATTGCCACTGGATCCTTCTCCTCTCCCAATTTATATTCCAAAGGTAGAAACAACTAAGGATTTTCGCGCAGTCCGATAACCAGCATAACTTCACAAGTCTCTAACTCTTGCAACGGAAGATTGCGTAAGTGCGACCATTTTCTTATATCACGTCTTTTCGCTACACAAGACTCTGAAATTGGCATTTGGTTCACCGTTCTGACATTTGGTAATTCAACCACTGTGCTGTCGTCCATAGAACTTACTACGATATCCACTAATTCACACTTTAATTCAGTCGACCCAGTCATCCCTGTCAATGTGAAGTCAAGCTTTCGCCCAGTTATTCCAAGTTGATTTTGCAAACGTTTATGACAAAGTGTTACTTCTGAACCGCTATCCATTAGTGCGTAAGTTCTGACTGACAGTCGATTGTTCCTCTTTGCTTTCATTTTCAGTGGGACAACGCTAAGGCACACGCGGTCTCCGGCCCCAGTTGCTACTGCTACCTTTACTTCATCTGGACTTCCCTCTTTGTTCGTGTTATTTCCTTCACACAGTTTGTCCTTTGAATCCTCTTTACTGGACGTATTCGTTTGTGGTGGATGTAACAACGTATTGTGGCCCTTTCCGCATCCTTCTACTCGACATTTGAGATCAAT